TAGAGTGGCCGCCGTATATTGAAAATTAGTACCTTTCCCTTCACTTGGGACTTCACTGTAATTTGCAACATTGGGTCATATGGGTTGAACTTAGACCAGGATATTCATTGCATGACTTGACGCCACCTACAATTAACTTGTTCTCTCACATCGATGCAGAAGGTGATCTTGGACATTCTCTTGGATTTATTAAGAAAGAATTCCTCATGTTAGATGTGTGTGGGGTGCTCTTTGGCAGTAAGTGATGTGGTGTTTCCAGCATATGTGAGTCACATGATCTGTAATGTGTAAAATTTCTATGTCAGCAAGTGCTGTTTTCCTCTCTGGTAATAATTTACCGGGAATGACAGTACTGCAGCAAATACCATGTTTATGTGAGGGTGATGTGCAGCTCAGTGGGTGGGATCTGTGCCCATGTCCGGAAGGTTGTGAGTTCACATCCCAAGACTTGACAGAGTGACCTTATCACAGGTGAACACTTGATCAAGGTCCTCAACCCCAAATACTGCAGGGATGCAGGCTGTCCCTGGACTCCCTGCTCCCCACCTGTATGCTGCCGTAGACAATAGTCTTCACTAAATAGATGTTAAAAATATTATTTTTTTATGTTCTCATTGAAAATAGTCTAAACAATGTTTTTGAAATTAAGAAGCTATGCATCATTAATAAATCCATTGCTCTTCATAAAACATGAGTAGAGCATTTTAAAACCATTTTAATAATAATATACCTGGAATTAGCTGGAATAGGCTATGCAGTGTATTTCTCTTTACTGAAAGACAGCTACAGTATGACTAACACTTACCTTTTGTTCAACAGAAATTATGAACGACGTTATTAAAAAAGTCAAAGAGAAAGGAGTATGGAAGGTATGAATTTCTCTTCCCATCACTGCAATATCCCCCTTCCGTTCATGTGGCAGTTAGCATCAATAGTGGCAACCTTACAAAAAATAATATCTTTTACTTCGTACTTGTTATACCAGCATGTCAGAAGATGGAATGTGCTAGGCTCCACCCCCCAGTCATTTGCCCCACCCCTGCTAATCAGCTGTTGGTTCTAGGTGCTGGTGGTGGACCCGCTCAGCATGAGGATGCTGTCGTCCTGTTGCAAGATGACTGACATCATGCCTGAGGGCATCACTAGTGAGTGTTTCTCCCAGGGTGGCGTGTTGGTGGGATCCCAGGCGTGATGCTTCCTTCACATTACTACTCTCACTCTTTGTTTTCCTCTGTCCTCTACAGTTGTTGAAGACATAAACAAGAGACGTGAGCCTCTCCCCAGCCTGGAGGCCATTTACCTTCTCACTCCCACTCAGCAGGTACAGGGTCTCGACACAAGATGCACGCGAAACACTCGTCACACCTTCTACACTGAAAAGGGCAAAATACACGAGGAAGCTCCATTGCATCTCTTATCCCTCTCAAATGTTCAGTCCTCATCTCAGTTACTTTCTTCTGAAACACTTTAACATCTTTAGGGTAAATACTGCAGCTTTTGGGCTCTCGTTGGTCTTGGTGGTTGTTACCATGAGATCATAGGAGGGTGGTGCTGGCTGAGTGTCACATGGTGTCTTTTGCATGGGCATGTAGCCATGTAGTAAAGGTAGTAAAGCAGTAGTAAAAGTAGCAAAGTATTAGTAAAAGTAGTAAAGCAGTAGTAAAAGTAGTAAAGCAGCAGTAAAATCAACCCAGGGAGGTTTCTGGCTATAGACCTGCCTTGAAGTTCCTTGGAGAGCCGTCTTCACTGTCACACATGTGCTGTCTTCACCCTACAGTCAGTACAGGGGCTGATCTCAGACTTCGTCGACCCCAGGTCTCCACAGTACAAAGGAGCGCATGTCTTCTTCACTGACTGTGAGTGCCAAAAACCAGTGTGACCTTTGTGTAATCATCTGCCTGCCATATCTGACACTCGCATGTCACTGCAAAGTGCACTTCAAAGTTTAGTGAATTGGTGAAAAGGACCACCTGAGTTTGACTTGGCATGCTTGTACGTAGCCTGTGGAGTTCCTTGCCTCATGATGCCCTGTTGTGACCCTGCTGCATCCCTCCTTGCTCTTACAGCATGTCCTGACCTCCTGTTCGATGATCTGGTAAAGTCCCGGGCCTCCAAAAAAATCAAGACCTTGACAGAGATCAACATCGCCTTCTTGACCTACGAGTCGCAGGTAAGACTCTGTCATGCTGCCCCAGGAATTCCCAGGAATTTCAACACAGAGTGTGTGGCTGGGGCTCGGTGAGTAAGGAAATAAGGAAGGCATGCAGCCAAGTGGTACCTGAACCCATGGAATGTTCCAGAACAGCTTAAGCTGGGGGTTGACCCACAAACCTCTCCAAATTAATCCAAATGCTGTTTCTCAGTGGCCATTGGTGCAGTAGAGGGATAAGCCGACCAGACTGTCATGTGACCCTGAACAGATGGACCTGGGTACAGAGGGAGGGGTTGCAGAGTGGGGACCTATAAACAGTGGGGTGGAAGGAGAGAATGATTCTCTGATGGGGGGTTATTGTCAGATAGTGTAGGTCAGTGTTTCCCAATCCAGTCCTTGGGGATTCGCAGACAATCTATGTTTTTGCTCCCAATTTTGCTCTGGCAGGGAGCTGGGCAGGAGCAAAAATGTGGAGTGTCTGTGGGTTCCTAAGGGCCGGGTTGGGAAACATTGGTGTATGTTACAGCAAGCAGTAGGCCTGTGGAACAGAAATTGAGAACAGAACAAAGCAACACATTTCAGTTAGCTGTAATTTAATAATACAGGTTTTAAAGTTTTCAATACGTACCTCTGAAGATCTCCTGACCCTGCCATCTATGTGGTCCGTATATCTGATGGTTGCTAAGGAGTTAATAATATCCACCAAAGAGGATTAAATGCTCTCATGTATCAACTATCTAGATAACAGGACAACCAGAGCTCCCCCGCCTGTCCATCTCTGAATGAATTCTACATGGCATTTTACTTGATAACATTCCACAGGCAGGGGATACTGGGTAATCACAGAAAATTTTACTAAATATTTGGAACTCATTAGACGACCCCTGACACACCAGAGTTCATGTTTACTCATGTTACTATACAGTTGCTTAAATTACTTCCATGTTGGTTTTAAAGATAATGTCTTATACTGTATATTCATATTGTGTTTCACATAGGTTCTGCATTAACTCCCTACAACCAAAAGTTCCACCAGCTTAGTAAGAGACAGATAGGCTTAGGGAATGATCTATAATGTCTTTATTGTACTTTTTTATTTTGTACTTTATGTAGGAAGATTGGCTTTTTGCACTTATTATTGTTTATTGTTATTCATAACAATAAATGTTATGTTACCCAGCAATCATGTGCATAAAGAAATATACATTATTAATGGATTTGTATTTTATCCTTATAAGCAGAATTGAAAAGAAAGAAAAAATATATAAACATGCCTTCTGCGCAGTTTGCATGCTCCATACTCTCTGGACAGCTGCGTTAATGTTCTGCACAGGTGTACTCTCTGGACTGCTGTGTTAATGTTCTGCACAGGTGTACTCTCTGGACTGCTGTGTTAATGTTCTGCACAGGTGTACTCTCTGGACTGCTCGGATGTATTCCAAAGCTTTTACAGCCCTTACAAGACTGAGATGAAGAACCCAGTCATGGAGAGGCTTGCTGGTCAGCTTGCAACGCTGTGTAGTACCCTGAAGGAGTACCCCTCCATCCGTTACAGAGGGTGAGAGTGCAGAAGCAGGGCATGCTTTTATATTCCATCTGATAAACGTAAGACACGTCCAGAGGGCTGTTTGTCCTGCTGCGGGTTCAGTGCCCAGTACTCAGTAGGTCTATTTCTATGGTAGTAACTTACACCTTTTTATGTAGTGAGCCACACTTCTGGGTTTGGAGTGTGTACTTACCGCCCCCATTTGTCCAAACGCAGGGAGTGCAAGGACACTGCCACACTGGCACAACTGGTTCAGGACAAGTTGGATGCATACAAGGCGGACGACCCCAGCATGGGAGAGGTGAGGGGGGAGATGGATGGGAGATCATGCACAGAAGGAGCCCCTAACCAAAGATGGAGAAGAGGAAGCAGGAGAAAGTGAAAAAGAAAGAGAGGGATTGATGTTGACTGTGATACGTAAGGCAACAAGAGGCCTAAGACCCGTGATGGATGCTTCTTCAGCAGATAATTGCATCTCTGCCATGTCCACTGTCTTATTTTAGAAACGGGTTAAAATTTTTTGATGCAGATATTGTATGTCACTTTAGATCAGAAGTGGAGTGGGGGGGGGGCAAAAACCCTCATTCTTTACTTTATGTATTAAAGCACATACCTGAAGCACACATAACCTATTATAACCTATTATTTTGTTTATCTAGAGGATACCAGCAAACCGCTTATGCAAAGGTGCAAAGTGCCAACATAAAACATGATCTTGTCAGTGAATTGCAGTTTTTGACTTAGGCCACTGGGAGTGCACTGCCCCCCCAGTGGTGGGCAGCCTGTGGCTTTGCAGGCTAGGTGCCTGTGAGCGGAAGGTCGCTGGTTCAGATCTGGGGGCCCATGCCACTATTACATTATTCAGGATTAATGGCTGACCCTGTGCTCGGACCTGAGACTTCGCCTTCACCTGTACTGTACGTGTGTGTGTGTGTCTCAGTACCATGAAGGGAGTCTTCCAGTGTACCTGCACAACTGGGTTTCCAGTGCAGGGATTTGCATTGAGGGAGACAGGACACAATGATTAGTGTCACTAAGGGGGAGTAGAACTGAGCTCTTAATGAAATAATTAAAATTCAATATTAAAATATAATACGTAATAAGAATTTTGTACATCTGGCATCTTGTGAAAATGATTACTACTGCTTGTAAATACAATTCACACTAATTAATGACTGATTGACCCAACTGAATACTGAAGACATGGTGCCCTTTGTTCCTCCGATTCCGCTGCTGCACCTTCCTGCAGGGTCCTGATAAAGCCCAGTCACAGCTGCTGATCCTGGACAGAGGCTTTGACCCCGTCTCCCCGGTCCTGCACGAACTCACGTTCCAGGCCATGAGCTACGACCTGCTGCCCATCGAGAATGACGTCTACAAGTCAGTGCCTTTGTTTCAGTTTTGCGCCCTCCTCAAAACACAGGGTTCCCACATCTAGCGTAACGCTCGCACTTTCAGGCTCTCACACTCATGCAAGAAATCTTGTGGCAACTATATTATTCCATTATAAACCTAAAATTAGCTACATCAATAGCATTGCGGCAGTTTCTAAACCCTACAGACTAATTACAAGGTAACAAAAGTGTTACATACATGTAAATGAGTGTGCAGACTTGTCTCGAAATTAAAATGTCACACCAGCTAGCTGACCAAACACGGCAACCCTGAAAACAGATGCCAGAATTTAACAGAACAAAACTGTAAGCTAATAGGAAGCAAAAGAAAGTGTTTGATGACAAGGACAGCCTGTGCACTCGTTGGTTGGCTGGGTATGGAAGCTTTAATTGTGCATGAGATATCATCCAAGTACCTACCTACGCTGTTTATCACGTGACCCAAGCTGCCCAGTTATATCGCTTTAACCTTTAACCTCCAGCACATTATACACAGATATAACAACAGCTGCTGCACAAAAACTGAAAATAATGCTGAGAAAAACCCAGAAAACCCATCAATGCTTCTATAATGGGAGACCGAGGTTCCCAGCACGCTAATGCCAGTCACGCCTCGATTTCTGCCTTTTGCGAGACTGCCAGCCTTGCTGAGCTTGTCGGCCTGCTCTTCCCACGCTGTCCACCGAATCTCCTTTTTGGGTCTGTATTGGTCATTCCAGGTCTCTCTCTCTGTCTGTCCATCTCTGGCCACCCATCCAAACATATCCATCTCAGGTATGAGACCAGTGGCATGGGAGAAACCCGGCTGAAAGAGGTTCTGCTGGACGAGGACGACGACCTGTGGGTGACCCTACGTCACAAGCACATCGCTGAGGTGTCCCAGTGAGTCCCACCATCCCCTCAAGCCCGGACGGCCTCTGTGCTAAACGGATCACATCAGTGACACAAACTGGGCTATCAAAAGCATACGCTGGCTCTGGTCTATATTCCTTTATCTGAAGACAATCCCCATGGTCACTAACTCTCATGCTTGTACCGTAAAACTCACACTTTCAGACTCACGCTCACGCAAGAAATCTTATGGCAAATCTGTATTATTCCATCATAAATCTAAAATTGGCTACATCAATAGTGTTGGGACAGATTGCAAACCCTGTAAATGCGTGTGCATGTGTGTGCAGACTCGATTGAAATGCTCACTCCAGCTAGCTGACCCTTTAAGTTGAGAACCCTGAAACCCAATAACAGCTATGAGCTTTTCTCAGGAATGAGAAGTTTGCTAGTCCAGTGCCAGGTTTAGACGAAACTAGTTCTCAACTTGTATTGCGAAAATAGGATGATGACAGTGTCTCAAAAAGTTCATTAACAGGATTGGGTCATCAACACTCCGCCATTGTTATTGACTTTACGGTTCCGTATGATTTTTTACGTTTGTGCCACTTCTGTTGAACCTCTTTAGATGTTCGTCAGAAATTCTGATCTTTGTTCTTTTTCTCACATCACTCTCTCCCATTCTATCACACACACACACACACACACACACACACACACACAGGGAAGTGACTCGCTCTTTGAAGGAATTCTCTGCCAGCAAAAAGATGAACACCGGAGAGAAGGTACAGGCCTTACACTCCCCCAGTTCCTGAACCAAGAATGTTCCCCCCCCAGCCCCCCACCCATAGTTGTTATTAGGAGTACCTTAACCTCTGAGTACCTCACTGCTCACCCCATCACACTAGTGACAGCTGTTAGAGGATGCTGCTATGCAGTTTGTCTGTGAACTGCATGAGTATTTAAAATTAAAAGAACGAAGAGGTCCTACAAACACTGTTTGTGTGTGTGGATTATGTGTCAGGCCCTTCTCATCCCATCCTCCTGTGTGCCACGCCCCCCTCGCTACCTCGTGTGGAATCCCTGTGTTACCAGCTGATTCTCATTGTTAATTAGTCTGCTGTATTTAACTCCACGTTTGAGTATGTTTCCCTTGTCCGGTCATTAGCGCCATTGCGTGATTTCCGCCTGTTTTGTGGTCCTGCTTGTCTTCGCCCTGAATTAAACCCCGCATTCCCCGACTCCTCGAGTCCTGCCTCTGCTTCCTCAGTCCATGCCCCATGCAAACTATGACAGTTATGTATATATTACATTGTGAGGACCACATGTCCCTACAATGTGATAAAAACCTGTTATTTTGACCTTGTGGAGACCGTTTTTTGAGTCCCCATGCAGTTTGTGTCTCTGTGTCCTACAGACTACCATAAAGGACCTCTCCCAGATGCTGAAAAAGATGCCTCAATATCAGAAGGAGCTGAGCAAGGTGAGCATGTCATGTGACACCTGCTGATTAAGTAACTTCATCCAAAAGGATGCAGTACAGTCCCTGGAGACTTTGTACTTTTAAAACAAAATATTTTTTACTTGAGTAGTATTTTACTGGATGACTTTTACTGTTACTTTAGTAGCATTTTGGTGTGTTCGCTGTACTTTTACTTAAGTATGAAATTTGAATACTTTTACCACCCCTGCTAAGTGCTAACTAGGTCACTCTAGATGTGACCCACACTTGGTGAAAACCTCCTACATGGATGATTGTTATAGCTCAACTGCTTTAAGCTTGGTTTTTGCTTTCTTTCAGTACTCTACCCATCTTCATCTGGCTGAGGACTGCATGAAGCACTACCAGAGCTCTGTGGACAAGCTGTGCCGCGTGGAACAGGTAATTACACCAGAACCTCACAGTCACCATTTCTTACTGCATGACACACCGATCCAAAAAATGAAAAAGATCAAGCCAAGATAGCTTTGAATTTTTGTGTCCTGCGTTGACCTTTGACCTTTCGTGCTCCATACACCATGTGCCCCCGTCCCAGGACCTGGCCATGGGCACTGATGCAGAAGGAGAAAAGATCAAGGACCCCATGAGGACCATTGTTCCTATCTTGCTGGATGCCAATGTCAGCACTTACGACAAGATCCGCATCATTCTGCTTTATATCATCCTCAAAAACGGTGAGATGCATGCATATACACAGCAGAAGTGGGGACTCTAGTCACAGGCCAATGATTTGACTTGGACTCAAGTCACAAATTTCATGACTTGTGACTCAATTCAGCAAAATTGATGGAAAGACTTGGACTTGAGGGCAAATACTCGAGACTTGGACCTGACTTGGACCCTGTGACTCGAGAAGACTTGAGGTTATAGTCCCCCCTCTGGATACCATAACATTAATTTTATCATATCAGTGTGCATTACTCATCTGCAATCTGCATTTTCAATTGGCTGAATGCAAGGTCTCCTGAGAGAGCTTGTTGGAAAGATGCATCACTCTCTGCATATAAACTGATGTAAAAACTGTGAGGACAACTGTGAGTGGACACTCTTTTTCTACCTTTCTCTGTCTATAAAGATTGTATCCTACCATGTACTGTGGCGGGTTTTTGCTGCAGCAAGTATCAGTCACTAAAGGTAAAAAAACTGGCATAGGTAGGGACTCAAGTTACATGACTTGACTTAGACTTGAGTCATAAATTTGATGACTTGTGACAGCAAAAATGGAAAGACTTGGACTCAACATGGACTTGAGGGTACCTGCCTTGACACTTGACTCAGCCGGCAATTTTTTGACTTGAATTGCCAAGGAACAACTTGTTCCCATCCCTGATACACACATACTCATATGTTCAGATGTGTGAAGTCACATTGAATGTGACTGATGTGTGTGTGTGTGTGTGTGTGTGTGTGTGTGGGTTATGTATATCCTCCTGAGACCCAAGGAAAAATGTGTCCTTCAGTTTTAGGTTAATTATGATTTTTTATGTCTTTGGAGGAAATAAGACATCAAATTTATTTTTGTTTCTAATTTCACAGCATGTCTTCTTTAGTGTACAACAGGAATAAATATGTTTCCTTACATCAGTGAAAAGATATATGCAAAAACAAAATGTCCACTGCAATGGGTGGGGTCTCAGGAGGATATATTACATTGTGGGGACCACATGTTCCTACAGTGTGATAGAAACTTGTTATATTGTCCTTGTGGGAACCATTTTTTCAGTCCCCACAAAGGCAACTCAATTTTACAAAAATCTCTGACTGCAATCAAAAAACTAAAAATCGCTGAAAGTCTTGCACCTTGTTTGATTAGTCATGGTTAAGGTTAGGGCTGGGTAGGGGGTAAGATTGACATTGTTGGGATTAGGGTTATACCCATAGAAATGAATGGAGAGTCCCCACAAAGATATGAATACAAAGGTGTATGTGTTTGTGTGTGTGTCAGGAATCACGGAAGAGAACCTGACCAAGCTCCTACAGCACGCGCAGATTCCCCCAGACGACAGCGACATCATCCTCAACTTGGCTAACCTGGGTGTGCCCATCATCTCAGATGTGAGCCCCCCCCATGTCATCATCCACCTCCACAACGCACATGGTGCTGGAATGAGGGTGTCCCTGAGTGGCTTAGCAGCCCAGTGGTGTCGTACCTTAAATGGTGTCTGTACGTTGGTACAGCTGGGTGCCGCCCCTGACACCTTTGTGCCTCCGCAGCCCAACGTACGCCGGCCCAAAAAACCTGACCGCAAAGAACGCGCCAGTGAGCAGACATACCAGTTGTCCCGGTGGACCCCCCTGGTGAAGGACCTCATGGAGGTAAGTACAGTATCCGGTCTTACTGACCCCAGCTCCACCACCAATCAAGCGGCTTTCAACTGTGCGCCGCCATTCCGTCAGGAAGCCATCGAGGACAAGCTGGACCCCAAGCAGTACCCCTTCATCTCCACGCGCAGCCCTTCTTCCCATGGAGGTACCACTGGCAGGTGGGCGGAGCGAGGCCTTGTGCCGTTGTTGGTTATTGATCCACCACACAGCACAGACGTTTTAGCACTAGTGTTCCTTCAGTGTGCGTTTCCAGCAGTGAGAACAAATGTTTATGAACACAAACCAACGTATCTAACTAAAAGGGTATTGCGGTAGCACCCAACCAGAAATTGTGATAAATTAACAGCCAGACCCCCATTATATCCATATGAGGGCAAATTTTGTTTTGTAAGACCTCATAGAACTCAAACCTCAGCAAATAGGTAAGCACATGTCTAAACATTGGATCAGTTTAGCTTTACATTTCAGGTGTAAGTTAGGTTATTTAATCTGGTATTTTCAATGGCTCGAATATCCCGAGCCAGAATTTGTAGATTGTATCTAATTTCATATGAAGTCATATATGAGGATGCATGACAGATAAGAGAATAAATTAACTGAAAGGTGATTAAATGTCCCCCCCCCAGTGCTCGGTATGGACAGTGGCACAAGAATAAGCCCCCCGCAGAGGTGCGAGCGGGCCCCCGCCTCATCGTCTTCATCATCGGGGGGGTGTCCTTCAGTGAGATGCGCTGTTCCTACGAGGTGACACAGGCAAGCGGCAAGTGGGGGGTCATCATTGGTGAGTCGGCAGCTGAGGGGCAGGTACAGGAAGCGTCATGTGGAGTGGGGGGGCAGCGGGGGGGGGGGGCAATGCAGCTAGGAGGCACTTTCACTACAGGATCAGAGAAAACCATGGATTTCAGTCACGCATGCACCAGTGTTGCAAGCCAAATACAAAAATGACAAAAAACTAACAAAAAAATAAAAGCAAGCCATGTGCAGTTCCTGTGGGGGGGGGGGGTTGTCAGTATCAATACAGACAATTAAAGGAAATCAACCATTTTATGAAAATTGATTGATTCAATGGACCTTAACTTTCTATAATCGTTAAGGGTGCAGGTTTGACAGATGGTCTGAAGTCCTTTATTACTTGAATAGTTTAATAACTTAATAGTGTAACATGGTTCACTTAGATTAGCAGAGCATGCGTGACTGAAATCCACGATTGACTCAGATTGACAGGTACAATGCAAACGTTAAACAGGCATGCAGACCAATCCAGTCAGGTAAGAAGGAGAGGTCAGAGAGTGGGGTAACCTACATTCTGCATTCTACATCCTGTTTGCAAATGTGATTTTAAGTGTGTTGTATATTTGCACATTTAACTTAAATATAATTAATGCCTGATTGCAAACGCTGTTACGAATTGTAAATGTTAGCCACCAGGGATACTTATGTAAACTACTGTACAGATGCTGCAGTGTCATTGAATTTAAGTGACAATGTTTTCAGACAATAGAAAATCCTCATAGAGGAATTGTGATCATATGGAATCAAATGGTGCAAAGTTAACAGCTTTGTGAGTTACATAGAGCGGTCTTTCCCAACCCAGTCCTTGGGGTTTTTTCTTCCTCCCAGCTCCCTGCCAGACAGTCCATGTTTTAGCTCCCTGTCCAGAGAGCTAGAAGGGAGCAAAAACATGGGCTGTCTGCAGGTCCCCGAGGACTGGATTGGGAAACACTGGCATAGATGATTTAATGCAGATACAGATGTGTAATGATGCCTTCATCTTCCATCTTCATCATGGGTGACTGAGAGTGATAATGGATGGAGGTCTTGGCTGCCTGGTCCCTCACCAAAGCCACGGGGTTCAAAGGGTGGAGATGAGCTGGTGGGCCCTTCTCTTTCCTGCAGGTTCCACACACACACTCACCCCTAAGAGATTCCTCATGGACCTGCGGCACCCCGACTTTGTAGACCCCAGTGAGCCCCACGAAGAGGATCCTGAACAAACCAATAAAGTAAAGGCAGCCGATCAAGCTGATCCCACCCCGATTCGTCCTGCACTCACTCCACATGTCATATGACTGTAACCCAAGTCTCCCATTTGATCTATGGACACCAGAAAGACCTGTGATTGGTGCTGTTTGACCCAGATCACCTGGTCTCCTGTTTTCCTGACCCTATTCCTGTTCCTGACAGGTGTATTTAATACCCTCTCCTTTGGCCACCCGGGGTGATATGGGGCCCTACATGTTCAATAATTTATTAGACAATTTGCTAAAAGCGTGTTTAGTCTTTTGAAATGTTACTGGGAAAACCAAGGCAGGTTTTTGAAGGTCTTGTGGCTGGAAGTGTTGAAGCTGCTCATTATGTCCTATTGAAGAATTCTGTCATTAACACTAATTTCAGGAAGTCAAAGGTGATTGTTCAGGCAGGGTTTCCTAAATCTTTCGAAAAGTTCAGCTCCTCTCCAGTCTTCCACACAATACATTGCTGCAGCTCCTGTGACCCATTGTGGGACAACTTAGTTTTTTAAAAATCTGAGCAAAAATGATTGTCTGACAGAGAGGCACAGGAGCCCGGCCCTAATGGAGCTGTCTCCTGCCTGCGTCGCCGTTTCTCAGCAGATACGTATCTTATGGACAAGCTCAGTGCTCCCTAAATCCTGGTTTAATCCCGGTTCTGCTGGCAGAAACCTACATTGTGCTGCAGGCTGCTTCCAGGCTCAACATTTCTAAGACCACAGTACACATGAATAATGTGAAACAGGAGGTACTGGGAATAACCAGAAAGCAGCCAGATAAAAGGCAGAAGCCACTTCCTAATGCCAGAGATGACCATTAACTTATCCGACAGTTTCTCTTAAATCGGAGGATGACATCAAGTGACCTTCAAAAGGAATGGGAAACATTAAGTACAGATGTGAAGTGCACTGCTAGGACAGTTCGTGTCAGGCTCCTAGACGTTGGAATGAAGTCCCAAAAAGCAAAGAAGAAGACCTTCATTAATGAGAAAGAGGGAAGAACCAGGCTGCAGTTTGCAGTATATATACTGACACACACTCATACATTGAGAAATGAGTCAAACAAAAAATTGTGCTGTGGTTTTCCCATGGCTGTATCACCTGTGGGGCTGTGTGTGTTTGTGTGGCCATTTGTGCTGTGTTATCCTAAGAGACTCTGTGAATAAATTAGTATAAATATTTTTTGTTATTTATTGTATTATAGGCTATTATAATTTGGTCAGATATGTCTGTAAGTCAAATCCATTATTAAGTGAAAAATCCATCCTGTGTGACTTTGCTACCCAAATGACTCGAATATCAGCAAATATTTAATTGCTGGGTTTGAAATGATGTATTTCCACTACCAGTTAAATGTTGTTACATTGTTACATTTGGCCTTATTTTAATTAAGTTACAGAGTTTAATAACAGAAAGGCCAATGGCAGGTGAAGCAGTTTAATTGTCCTCCTCAGCCACTAGTGATGCAGATTTAGCCCCATGTCATGCATGCTTATCTTCAGCTGGGCATGTAGATTTTCCCGGGATCGGTGTGTTTGGTGTCAAATGTTTGTCCAGTTCAGACGTCGCTCTGTTAGAGAATAGTGCCTCCAAACTCCCTTGTTTTCACAGGTGTTACAAAGTGGGTTTAGATGATTTGCTAAATGTCTGTTTAGTCTTTTGAAATGTTACTGGAAAAACAAGGCAGGATTGTAAAGGTCTTGTGGCTGGAAGTGTAGAAGCTGCTGTTTTCACCTCTCTGTCTCTCTACACCTTAGGACCCCACACCCTAACCCCTGCTCAACGCCTCGACAGCCTCAAGGAGACGACAAGAACAGAGGAGGAGGAGGAGGAAACCAAAACAGACCCACTTTCATCTCACATGACCATCCCCTTTGTTCGTCACTTTCACGTCTCCTCCTGATTACTTTTTCATTCCTCTCCTTCAGTGCTTTTTTATGCCTATCCATCATCCCCCTTTCATCACATTCCTTCATTTCTCCATTCATAACTTTCCTTCATACTCTTTTTAATTTATCATTTTTTGATCCTATTGTTTGTGTTTTAGAGGCAGATTGCAATAGAGACAAATGCATAACATAAGTGTTTATACTCAAGGAATTTTAGGATATAATTATACAGACCCATTTAAATTAATATCCAGTTATCTTTGCTATAGGAAGCCTAACTGTATAAATACTAGGTGTCAGGGCAGGACTCATATTTGCTCTAATGATACTCTTGGAGTGACATGACTTGTTAACACAGCGTGTTAAAAGCACGAGCGGCCAGCTGAGAGCTTTGTGAAAGCTGACTGCCTCTGGATTAAGAGTGCACATGATATTTTGCAGTAATATTGACTTCAGACTAGATAGCCTAAACTAAAAGCAGGGCTACCTACTTTACTGATAGAATTCCTCTCCATGCATTTGTTTGAAAGGGAGATTTACTGTAAAAATTCCATTTAGTGTTAATAGCAATACATTTACCACATGCAACATTTCCCAAAGACTCCCATTAGCAACTTATATAGTTGGAACCGTTCAGTTGCATGCTTCCAACTATGTAAGTTGCTAATGCTCTTAGTGACTATGTTCAGGGGAAACACCCCTGGACAGGGATTTTTGGGTATTCAGTGATCACATTTACCTCCATTTACATGCCAGTAGTACTTGTTTGTGTTTCAGCTTCTAGTTCCAGTAATAATTTCCACTGTAGAAACATCCCCATCTCAGAAAATATCATAGCACCATGTGTTTAGCTGTAGTCAGTGGGAACCAAGGAAAATACTCTGTAACAGTTTTCCTGCAATGACACAACACCACTTGTGAAATGAATCTGTGAACAGAGCCGTTAATATATGTTACCTTTACCCTCATTTACTGTATATTCTGATTGGGTATGTTATGTTCTCTAGTGTCTCTGTTTTGTAATAGATAAGCCCCAGTTTTCAAATACCTTCTTGTTTGTGTAGGTTTTGCTTAGTGATCCTGCGATCTGTGTCTCCGCTGTTTATCAAAGAGAGAGCTTTAATAAAGAGTTTGTACCCTTTACAGGGATGTCTGCTCCTTTCGCTGTGTGGGTGATGTCAGGTCAGCTGCACTGTGGTCATGTGTAGATGCAGCCAGTCAGTTTGTGGTCTAATTACAAGATAGAGATGGAGTTGTTCTCTGTGATTCGTAATCCTGTCATTGCCGGCATCCCTGCCACCCACAGCTGAGTAGGTTTGAGCCTGGTAGGTACATGGATGGGAGGCCAACTAGGAGAGCTGGGTTGCTGCAGGAAGAGGTGCTAGTGTGCCCAGCAGGTTAGATAATCCTGTGGTCAGTGTGGGTCCCAATGCCCCAGTGCAGTGATGGGGACACTGTGCTGTAAAAACGGTGAGATGTAAAACCAAGGTTCTGACTCTCTGAGGTCATAAAAAATCTGGGCATCTTTCAAAAGAGTAGGGGTGGTACCCCAATTCCATGGCTAAATTGTGGCCCTATCGAATCTAACTTCCAAATCATCCCCTATTTCTAACTGGTGAATTCTCTCCTGCCCCTTCACCACCTTAGCTACTGTGTGGTGAGCATACTGGTGCAGAATGGCTGCCGTTGCATCATCCACATGGGTGCTACACAGTGGTGGTGGTTGAAGTGTCTCCCCATTGCTTCTGTAAAGTGCTTTGGGTGTCTTGAAAAGTGCTATATAAATATAACTTTTCATTCATTTTCACGTTTATTATGGGATTCATTGCAGTGGAGAGTGGCACTGTTGCTCAGGGTTGCGAGTTTGAGCCACTCTGTGTGTGTGTTTACATTCTCTCTTCTCTTCCTGTGCTGCTCAGGATTCCCCTGGCTTCTGCAGTTTCCCTCCACACTTCAAAAACATGCAGTTAGGAGGATTGCGGTCTCTAGGTTGCCTATAATGTGCAAAGTTGTTTTGCACAGACAAGTGACTTTATGAGATAGATGTTTATACACATACTGTACGTAATATGGCAATCACTCATGCATAAAATTTAGAAAACAAACAGTATCATCTCAGTAAAACATGCAATCCATTCACTATTATACAACATGCAATTAGAATCAGTGAATTAAGAAAAACTCATACATCGCTGTGTTTTATGTTTTGTCGTTATATAAACTGTAAATGTATTTCATTAATCTTTCATTTTATTTGACCACAAATTTAAAGTATGAGCATAAATTTCTGAGACCTGCATTTTTCTTAAATGATTCCTTTGATATGAAACTGTACCATTATAGTTATTCTTGAATAAGTCAATGTCCCCCAAGCAAGGGTCAGGGAGCTACAGAGAGCCTGAATGACCACTGTGTGGCAGTAGTGAGCTGAATGCCTCATTCTTTGACCTCTGACCCAAGATGCTTCACCTCCAGCCAATAGCAGCTAGAGGCGATAAAATGGGCATTAAGTAATACCTGCAGAAAACAATAATTGAAAATCTAGGTTAGAAGATTTGCAGACACACTGAATATTATAGATGTACTATACTATAAAATTGGATATAATGCAATATAGAATACAACAATCTGAAATGTATTATACAATAAAGAGATTTCTCAAATAACTGGCCAAGGACATGGGAGGGTGAACAGCCTGTCAATGGGGGGGTACTCACAGCTCTTCAGGAGGCCACACTGCACCACAGGGACACCCCCGGCACAGATACCAGTAGAGCTGTTTCTTAGTGGGAGGGGGGTCTCCCAGCTGGTAACCCAGAGGCCAACAGTTTAGGTTTTGGTCCACTGGGACACCTGTTGGTCATAAGTGACAGAGAGCTAGGATAATATCACAGAAATGACAGAGAGCTAGGATAATATCACAGAAATGACAGAGAGCTAGGATAATACCACATAACTGACAGAGCGCTAGGATAATATCACAGAAGTGACAGAGAGCTAGGATAATACCACATAACTGACAGAGCGCTAGGATAATATCACAGAAGTGACAGAGAGCTAGGATAATATCACAGAAGTGACAGAGAGCTAGGATGATATCACAGAAGTGACAGAGAGGTAGGATGATATCACAGAATCCCTGGATGATGCTCTTACTCTAACCTGCAGGCTCTTTAGCCAGAGCAGGGTGACTCCATATCTGTTCTTCATGCTGCTTCAGTTACCCGCCATGCATGCACACCGCGGGACCGTGCCAATCTCTACCCCCTCTACTCATGTAATTCCCATCATTTGTTGTAGCATCTAGCTGGCATTTGATTCTCTCACGCTATTCAGTCTTACCAGTATAGTTTGCTCCAGCGCTTGGGATGAACCTCGGACTTAGGAAGCTCGGCCTCTCCTGTCTGTCCGTGTCACAGGAAATTCTGTACGGTGTCCCTGCGGCAATAAGAGCAACAGAAAATGCTGGGGCCCCTTCTCTCACGAGGAGCTGTTTACTTACTAATGAAATCTCGCTCTGATGTCATTGTGAAGTAGCACATTCCCAGTTGCCTGTATTTAGTCCCTGTGTGCACTTTGCTGGTGGCTTACCCGTGTAAGGTCCTCTCAGAGTGGGGCCTCCCAGCATACCCACCCCTGCAGCAAAGGATACTGGGATGTGACTGTGCTTGTGCTGTGTGGGCATACACTGGGAATTCATAAACCTGGTGGCTGTTGACATAAACACAGGAAGTTTGCATGATTTTATGTGACAATGTGATACAGATGTGTGTATGATTATGTTTGGACATGTGACACCTTGGTAATCAGCAGTGTGACAATCCCAAGCTTACGGGCACCGTGTTTGGGCCTTGATCGCCTGAAGGAAGCTGCCTGCTTTGTAGAAGCTGGTCTGATCTGCTCGTCTTTCGCTGCCTGTATTACTTCCTGTGCTTCTCGTTCTGCTGCTTTCACTTCCTCTTCCTCTGACTTTTCATCTGCTTGATGGTGTACAGTCCTGAAAGCAGAACAACACCATGGCACGCTCGATTACATGTGGGAAGCCCAAAAGCTCCACACAGACAGAAAAACTGAAAAAAAGCTTCACTGGGGGTCTGGGGTGGAGGAGCTGAAGAAACGTGGCAAGGTCATTTATTTTACCATGATATATGTATATACTCACCAACCTCATTACCTGGAAAAAGAAGTGTGGCATTTATAAGGGTGTAGGAGGTCCTCCTGACCCAAAGGGGGCTCTCCATTTGAATTGGATTGGTTAGACGTCCATTCAGTGCCTTCCAGCTGTTTCCTCAACTTACTTATTTCAAACTGCAGGGACTGAATGGCTTTACTAATGACACATGAAGTGCATATATCATCAGCATATTTAAGTAAAAATGGATGTGTAGATCAATGAAACTTCATGAAATAAACAACCCAGCCATAGCATCTGGACTGACAGCCTTTGCAAAATAATATGAAATTAGAACCAGTAATAGGAAGAAAAAAATGGACCTAACCCAATATACTTTTTACTTTAGAGTAAGAGGTGTGTGACTTCGATTAAAGATCTGCATCCTTCCATGACATTGTGGTTTCATAGTGTAGTGGTTATCACATCTGCTTTACACGCAGAAGGTCCTGGGTTCAAGCCCCAGTGGAACCAGTTTGTTAATTTATCCATAGTGGGCAGTACTGTTGCTTCATATCTGCAGAGCATTTTTAACTATATGTAGCTCATTGGGTCAGGACCCTATGCCCGAAAATTGTCAGTTCAAATCCCTGGATTGGCAGAGTGATTTTCAGGCTTGTATTACCAAAAACCTTGATTGCTCCTGTCTAGCAAAGTTTTCTCAGACAATGTATGCCACTTTGTATAAGCGTGTCGTAAATAAATATATCCATCTATACACACACATTTTTCATACTGATTATCCATTACAGGTGAATATATATCTTATATCAGAAACACAAGTGTCTCTATTAATGCTGCTCACCCACAGCATTTAGACTCACTTGCAGTATGGTAGAGAAGATTGGCTTTTCCTGGAGAAGGAGAACCTTGCTGGTCGCCCACCCAGAAGTTCCATCAGTAGTTGTGAAGCACTTCTCAACTCCAAGACTCAAATGACTTGTATTTTAACAAAAAACAGAAACCATGCTGACAACAATAAGAAGGAAAAAATGAATGAGAATATCTGTAGTTAGCCGTGTTTAAAGTCTGAGAAGATAGAAATTATTACACAATATAATGGAAGAACACACATAAATCACTTTAAATCCTATCAATATTCTAATGTATAAAAACACAATGTCCTGACACCATAATGCAGTTACCTTATGTGAAAACAAATGTAGTCAGGACATTGCAATGACAATAATATCTACTTCATTTGCCACCGATTCACTCAGCCAATGTGCTTGAGAATGGACTCCTGAGAATTATAAATCTCTGCTTGTTTGTTCTTCTATTTCTATGGCAGCCAAAGAGAGCCTCTGTGTTGATTTGTCCAGAATCCTGACATTGTTGCTATAGCGATGACATGTGGTGGGCAGAGACATAGCTGATGGTCAGACTGTTGATTGGCTACCGAGGTGTAATGGACACAGACATTGTGCAACATTCGAGAATGAGTGGGGGTTCAAAATGAATAATAGGAATTGACTACAACACTTGTCTTTCCAGATGCAGAGCTTGTGGCGCTCTGACCTCAGTGTACAGGCTATCCTAAATCACCCAACCTGCTCTTACAAGACACATAGACAATACACACACACCTGTGTGACTGGATGAGAGTAAAAAGTGAAATTGTGTTGTTTTGTGAACAGCAGGTAATGTAGTAATTAAGGACATAACCATAAGCTGAAGGTTGCTCGTTTAAATGAAGGACCCCAATCCTTATCCTGAATTGCTCCAGTGAAATATCTGTTTAAATATGTAGTGTTAAATCATTTTGGATAAAAAAAAACAGGCGATTAGTGGTAACTGTAATTAAATTAAATGTAACTTTAATTAAAAAAATAAATTAAAACCTAATGAAACTGGGTGAAAAGATGTGTGTTTAATAATTCGCTCTGGGTTGTATCCATGGGCATCTAAAATGTCTGCCCAAGCCGTGTCACATGCCAATGTCAGTCACATAAACATAACACAATAAGAAACA